GATTCTTCTTTTTAATTTTCAGAGATATAACTAAAATTAATTTGATTAAAGTGATTGATAACAACTAAGGCTTCGGGAATCACTTAAATGCTTTAATAGGGTTGAATATTAATTCTTTACCAAAAATTATGAATACGATGTCGCTAATATATTCTCAACTCCGGTTAAGGCAGCGAGAGCGTGGTTTTCGTTACGTGTAAGTCCCGTTACGGCTTACATTCATCTACCGAAAACCCCGTTGAATATCAAGACATCACACCCGTATCATATAATACCGGATATATTTCTATTCTCGGTAATATATATGTTTATCCTTTAATGTTCATAGTTTAGACCTCAACGTTAATTGCAAGCATAAACTAAGTTTAACATACTTCTATGTTGTACACCATAGTCATAAACAATCAAAATGTAAAGGATAAATCACAATTTATTGGTTTAGAACATTTATCAAACACCTAGTGGGCATAGAAGTTCATCCCTAGCCTTAGCTAAGAAATTAGCCTCTAATGCTCATATTAATCACAATACAATATTGAAATGTAATGGAACATGAAATTACAAAGGAAATAATACCTAAACACCAATGGTTTCGGAGGTTGAAGTTTCCTCCTCAAGAACTTGAAGAAAATACCAAGAACAAAAATATAAAAGCTATGATTTAATCTATGGAATGGAATGATGATCTTGTTTGATGAATTGGGGGCTTTATATAGGCTAAAGATTGGCATCTTTTAGTTTATTCGAGCCCAACAATCAAGCATGGAAGAAATATTTGATCAGATCATAAGGAAAGTGGGTTTTTCCCATCAACATCTTGCTGCACGTCTCCATGTTTTGTGCAGAATCGGGCTTAACCGGCGCCGGTTTTAGGCTTGACCGGCGCCGGTTTTAGTTCGGGCTGAAATAATACTGAAAAACACCATAACCGGCGCCGGTTATAGGGTAAAACCAGCGCCGGTTTTACTTCGGCCGACCGGGAGAATAACGGATTAAATGCAACCGGCGCCGGTTTGGTGAAATTCTGGCGCCGGTTTTGTCCTGGGATTTTGGGGATGTTCCGCTATGAATTTGGACATGAGTTCTTCATCAAAGTTGTAGCTAATGAAGTCTTCTGTCCACCAAAACTTGAATGACGTGATTTTATTCAGCCAATCAAACGATATGGATAAAACACTGAGAGGTATGCATCCTGAAATCCCACCATCAACATCTGACTTTGTTGATTGATTGAGTCTTGTTCCCTTCATATTTTGGCCATGACGTCTTCATAACATTTGTACCTTATTGAGTTAGAATTCACATGAAACTCTAATCGAGTGATTTCGAGTTCTATAGAATACGTTATACTCAAATTATGGGCAGAACGTCATTCTCTTGGTCTAAAAAGTTGTTCATCGCAATGTTTTATGCTCTAGCTCTCATTTTGGAGGTATTTGCTCGATTTCTCTTCCTTTCTTCAACAAATACTTATAAATACTTATGTTAAACACAAGTAAATATAACGGCTATCAAATCCCCCCACACTTGAACATTGCTTGTTCTCAAGCAATTTCTTCACCTTTGGATGCCTTGGTTAATTTCAACAACAATATATGAACAAAAATAAATCAATTTTTAAGAGAGATAAAAAATGACATATAAACTCTTTTGTCATTCTCGGTCCAAAAACCATTTTTTCAATTAAACACAAAAAGTATCATTTAGATTTAGAAAACTACTTATACTCTTGAAAATAAAGGAATGATTTGTGACTATGTTTTTTTGGGTGAGTGGGATGGCTTTTTGGTGTTTTGCCCGATTTCTCTTCCTTTCTTCAACAAATACTTATAAATACTTATGTTAAACACAAGTAAATATAACGGCTATCAGAAGTAAATGAGAGGTATATATTGGGTAGAAGTAATCTTGGGTGGGAAAGGTTTCTATTTTTAACTTTTGGAGGGAATCTGAAAAATTAAACCCTTTGTAGATGTAGTGTTTTTTTAAGAGGGGTACAAATTACCCTCTCTCCTCTTGTATGTTGTCAGAATGCTTTAACTTCAAAGTACCCCTTTATTTACTACATTTATCCTCTTTCCTTTTAACTTTACCTTTACTTTTGCAATCAAGGGCTATAAATGGGAAGTAAAGTACAAACATTTAGCCACCTTAAATGTAGAAAAGTCAAAGTGTCAAGGAGATTATGAACCGGAGGGAGTATATTTTAGCGCAATGTCTTTCAATAATTTATTTAACTTATTTTCCGATTGAACTTTAAACTGAAATTTGGTTTAAATAGTCCAAACATTATGAAGAATATTCTCACAAAATTGCATCAAAATAATCTATCCCGAAGTATCTCAAACATAGGTAGCTGGGCAACGGATCCTCTACTTGGCGCTCGTGCCGCCTCCACTATCACAACTGCCCTCCACCCATGTTGATTGTTGAGCCACCAAAAACCAACCATTCGACCTTCTCCTCAATTGCCGGAATGGGACAACAACACTGCTTTAGATTATCCTATCTAAAGAAGCAGTGGTTATCCTATCTTGAACCTGTGCTCGATCAAAATAAAAAAGAAAAACTGATCTGCAGAAATGCGACATTGCACCGCTCTCGACACACGAGAGAAAAACGTAGCTCTTGAAAAGCGAGAGAAAGACCCCCTTAATACCACGACACATGCTAGACGAAGACCTCCAGAGAAAAAGAGAGAACGGCGGGTCAAGAGCCTTTTTATCTAGTTTTTTTTATTTAATGTACATTTATTAAATATTTCAAAGAAAAAGTACTGTATTTATTTCTAGAAAATCCCTTTATGAGACCAAAACAGTGAAAAAGTGCATGAATAAGTTACATATGAAACATTCAGAGCTAAGTATTGTTTATAAACAATCCACCATTTTTATATGTATCTATAGATAATACATTTGAAGGTTACAATTAGGGAAAGTTTTGCCATGTGTCATCTTCTAAGCAATTATTGATTATAATATCTTAGATTCTCTTTCCAATTTAACACTCCGTATATTAGTATTTTTTAACCGTAATCATTAATTTAACTAATCAATTAATTATCTACTACCGATCAATTGAGTATTTAAGTTAGAGCCGAACTCATCTTAAATTAAATTACAACTAACATATATGTTGGAATCCTAAAGCTACATAATTCACAAAATAAAATCCCATATTTATTTTAAATGATTATAACTTTTTTATTTGTACTCTGATTGTTACAAAACATATATCATAATCCATAACTTTTTATTACCTTTCATATGAGACCAATATTGAATATATAAAAACAAAAAATTAATTTACCACTTTAAAAAATATTTGTTTTTTAGTGTTATAACTTTTGTTATACTTTGATTGTTAAAAATATACGAAGTATGTTCATAAATTTTTATCAGCTTTCATATGACACCAATGTTGTATATATAACATAATACTGTAATAAATTATTATTATTTTTATTATTTTTTGCAATTTAGGACCATTTTTAACAGTGCACACGATTAATTTGGAGTGATGCCTTAGAATAAAACCACACAAACTCCATCACTGTTATTTATTGTGTTATTCTTTCCGATAGATTTTGTGCAATTTTATTTGAAGCTATCGCTCCGATTAACTGTGTGCATTGTGAAAATGATACTACATTTGTCCTTAAAAAGATCATCCAATTGCGGGTTACAAAGATTTAGCAGTGATAAAGTTAAACGATCCATGTAAAAGTTCATATTATTTTTAGTAAATAAAAATTACATATTCGGATACTACATTAAAACCCCGACAAAACCTACAAAAAATAATTTATTTTTCATAAAATTTTGATATAGTAAGTAAAATATTAAGAGTGATTTAAGTTGACACTCGAAAAGCGAAGTGGAAGATCTTCATGGACGGAGAGAGTAGTAAATTGCACAAATTGATAGATTTTAAAAAACGATAATAAAAAGATATTATAAATTACAATAATGCTCTTTGTACACACAATTGCACCCACCCTATACACACTATAAAAGCCCCCAAAAAAATTACCCCCACTTTTCCCTCCTCCCCTTTTCCCCTCACCTCACTCGCATAACTCCCTCACTCCCCCCGTTTCTTGAAAATCAAAACACCCGCCCCTCCTCTCTTCTTCCTTCGACGATCATAAGCACAAGCAAAGATAATTTCTGATTTTACTTCCTCCACCATGGATTTTTACATGGACGAGAGCATGGTGAGAAACGACCCTGAGTTTTGGGGCTTGTTGAATGCTGTTCCCGGAGGTGGAGAAGCAGGATACGCCGACGGACCTGGAGAACTCGACGGTGACGACATGACTTGCGGAGGCGGGGATGGGTCTGGGCAGAAAGCCGGAGGTGGAGAAGTTGATGGACAGAAAGCCGGACGTGGAGAAGGTGACGTTGAGACGGACCTAGGCGGAGAGGATGAAGGACAGACGTCGCCGGCGGCCATGGACGTTGTTTCTGACCTTGGTAGGACTTCATCTCATGTTTTTAGTAGTTTAATGAAGATTATAACAGCTTTCTTCTCACAGGCATGTTCTTATGTGTTTATGTGTATAATTGTTTGTGTACGTAAATAGTGGTGGATACACAATGTGTCTGTGTACCCCTAAGTTAGTTTCAACTGATGCATATGTTTCTTCAAAAATTATACATCATGTGAAAGTTTAAAATTGTCTGTGCTTACCCCTTAGTAGTATTCAAAGTGTCTATGAAGCTTTAGAATTGTCTGTGTCTGTGCAAATATCACTGTCTGTGTGTACTAAATTGTTTTAAACACATGCAAACGTTCGGTGACACATGCAAGTTGTAGAAGGTGTCACTTGTTTATGTGTGTGTTTGTTTTTGTATGAAATCAGTGGAAGACTGATTTGCTTGTGTAGTATTCAACGGGTATGTTAAAGTTTGGAATTGTCTGTGTGTGCATATATGACTGTCTGTGTGTAAGTTTAAGTGTGTTGAAATGCATCAATAAATGAGCAATTTACCATAACAGATGGAGAAGGGTTGGTAAAGGAGAGTGAACTTGGTACAGAGCCAGAAGTTGGTATGGAGTTTGAAAGCAGAGAAGCGATCTATGAATTTTACAAAGCATATGGGAAGCGTTTGGGATTTCCTATAAGAACTAGGAGCACAACAAAAGACAAAAGAGGAAGAGAGATTGTGTCAGTTGTACTGGAGTGTTCGCGGGCTGGTCATAGAGGTAGTCAGTCAAAAAATCAATTGAAGCCCCAACCTTCAATGCAAATAGGGTGTGGAGCTAGACTACGTGCGCACGTAATTTATTCGGGACTTTGGCAAATTTCAAAAGTGTTTCTACAACATTCACATCCTATGAGTCCAACAAAGGCTAGACTATTTCGGTGCCATAGGAGGATGACGCATGGAATGGCGAGGAAACTTGCAATAAATGAAGTTGCGGGAATACGACTTAATAAAAGCTTCACCGCGGCCGTTGTTGAAGCCGGCGGATATGATCAACTTCCCTTCATTGAAAAAGATTGTAGGAACTATATAGATAAAGTGAGACAACTTAGGCTAGGTAGTGGCGATGCAATTGCCATTCAAGGTTTCTTTGCTAAAATGCAAGACCAATGTCCCGGATTTTTCTTTGTAATTGACTTAGATGAGGAGTCAAGATTGCGTAATGTATTTTGGGCCGATAATAGGTCTAGATATGCGTACAAAGAATTTGGAGATGTCATAACATTTGACACAACCTATCTTACGAATAGGTATGACATGCCTTTTGCACCATTTGTCGGGGTAAATCATCACGGGCAATCATTGCTAATGGGATGTGGATTAGTCTCTAACGAAGATACACAAACCTTTGTGTGGTTGTTTAAAGCATGGCTTGAATGTATGGATGGAATTGCTCCAATGGGGATTATTACCGACCAAGACCGTGCTATGCAAAACGCCATTGCAATTGTATTCCCAAATTCCAACCACCGATGGTGTTTATGGCACATAATGAAAAAGGTACCCGAAAAACTCGGAGGGGATGCACATAAAGATGAAATATTGGATGTTATACATGACTGCATTTATGATTCACAATACACCCAAGAGTTTGAGGAGAAATGGCTTGACATGGTTCAAAGGTATGAATTTGTAATTTTTTATCTTCTTCTGCCAGTAACTATTTCTCTGCCTCATAGACAGGTCTATCTGTCATAGACGATAAAGTTTGTACGTCACAGACACAATGTGTTTGTGGGCAGAGAATAAGTTCTTTGTGATTTTTTTTACAAACTTACTTTGTGCGCTTTAAATGTGTTCAGGTTTGCACTTCAAGAGCATGATTGGCTTCGTGTGATGTACAATGAAAGAAAGCGGTGGGTACCATGTTATTTAAAGCCAACATTTTGGGCCGGCATGTCCACAACTCAACGAAGTGAGAGCATCAACGCATTTTTCGATAAGTTTGTCAATTCCAAAACCACTCTAAAACAATTTGTTGAACAATACGGATGTGCTTTGCGTGATAAGGTGGAAAAAGAATTTCAAGCGGATACTAGCTCATTTACCAAAATGATTCCATGTGTGACTAGATATCCAATGGAAAAACAAGTGCAACAAATTTACACCATTTCTAAGTTCGCGGAGTTTCAAAGGGAATTACTTGAAGGAAAGCTTTATTGTGATATCATTTTATGTGAAGACGGTAGAAAATATACCGTGCAAGAGCATATGGATATTAATGGATTTAGGAAGATTGTGAACTTCCATATTGACTTTGACCCAATTACTTGTGTTGGAATATGTAGTTGTCATTTGTTTGAGTTTAGGGGCATGATATGTAGACACTTGCTTGTGATCTTTGTTCGGCTTGATATACATGACTTGCCCGAGGTGTACCTAATGAGTAGATGGAGGAAAGACATGAAAAGGGCGTACCAACGAGTGAAAATAAATTATGACGGGTGGATTACAACGGTTGAACAACAACGTTTTGACAAGTTATGTAAGACCTTTGAGTCTCTTGCCAACATGGTTGCGGATGATGAGGCGAAATACAGTGAAGTCCTCCTTTGGTTGGAAACCCAGTTGACCACATATACTCCTCCACTTAGCCATTCTTGTATTGTTGGCAACATGACGCCACTTGAAGAGCCAATAACAAATATTCGTGCCGAGGTCCCACTTCCACCTATTGGAGATCCGAAAAGTACGAAGCGCAAGGGAGCCCCAAAGAAAAACCGGGCCAAGGGTCCATTAGAAAAGGGGAAGAAGAAAGGAAGGGTTAACAAGGATAATGCACGAGCCACAACCACAAGAAACCAACTTGGTAATGGTGAAGGCCCTAGTAATGCTGGAGCTATTGTGCCAATGTTGTACTCTACTGGTTTAGATTTAAATTTATGTTTGATGTGAATACATGTACTATGATGTATTGGTTTTTGTTATATCATCAATCAATGTTTTGAGTCACAAACAATATTATGTCCTCATAGTCAGATCGGTGTTCAGCCACAAACAAGGAAGTCGACTCATAGACACAATAATAACACTGCCAAAAGGACTTTAATAGGTCCAAACAATATATATCATAATCATAAGGTTGTAAAGAAGCACATATGAACATATGTTTTATCAACTATGAGCTTTAATTGAATAAGTTTATAAATTTTGAGTTTTAATTTATTAAAGACTACTTAATTTAGTAAAGTATTAAGCTTTAATGAACAAAATCTATAATTGCAAAATGTTAATAACCATTTGCTACCTTATAGTAAATAATAATAGTTATGAGCATTTTTTTACATTACTTGATTAGTCAATAAATGTGCATTACCCCAGCGACCAATGTATATAATATATTCACATACACATGCATTTAGAAACAGTTGAGACTTCATACAGTACAAGGTTGATTACAGTTGCATTACACCCTACATTTGAACCCTCTTGGGAATAACCTTGTAGGATACTGTACAAGGTTGATTACAGTACAACAGTGTACATTATCATACATTTCTTTCCAAAAGCTTACCAAATATACAAAACAGGTAATTAATGTTTGTTACATGGGAACCTTGATCATGAAAGTAATGTTGTTACATGAGCAAAAACTATACAGGTGGATGTCAGCAAAAACATAGAAATGTGGATGTGTCTAAGAAACTGTCTTCCTCAATTTCCAAAGTCGCAGGGCATAGTGCCATCTCTTTCTGGCCACGTTTGCATACTCGCAATGTGGGCTCAAGGGTAGCCCCAACATCAGTGCCTCCGTATAACAAATAACCATCAGTCCACAAATAGTTCTGCAACACAGACATAATAAACAATTATGAAGTGCTCACAGACATAATTGTACACAACACATAAAGCATTATTCAGTGGTCACATACAAAAATGTACACAACACATAAACAATATCTTGCTTAACACATACCCTCCCTCCTGTTGCGGTACATCTGGCACTGCCTCAGCATTCCATTGCTTTACCTCACGCACATCTTGGTGGACTTGTATGACTCGGAAGAGCAGCGGAAGTCTCACACATAAGTTTGAAGCATGCAACCTTGACCTACTTGTTTTCATTGAGTCATACACGTGCACCACTTTTGATTGAAGGTCAATTTCCGCTAACACCCAATGCATACCTACAACATTTAGAGGTACAAAAACCTGAACAGAATAACAAATAAATAATACATTAGCACTGACTTTGTTACTGTAATAAAAGGAAGAAAATAATGAAATTTGATGCATGAAATAAATACACAGGCAATTAAATGAAGACCTTAAGCACTTACTTTAACCAACCCTCTCCAGTCAACACTTGGTAGACACCTATCAGCAGTCCAGACATCCTCATCCTTATCATCCTTACTCAATACTTGATGCTACACGAACAAAACGTTTTAATTACATAGACAATTATGTAATTAATGATTTACGAACAAATAAAAAATTATTATGTAAGTTTAGTTAAAATAAACAACACATACCGTAAAGTAAGGATTCATTAGCTTATACGGCTTCTCCGACTTACAATCTTTTAGAATCAGGTACGAAAGAGCATCCATATGCTAAGAAATAATAAAGTCAGACATACATATACATGACAACTTTAGAAAGTTCTGGAATAGATAAGGCACTCACATAGGACCATAATGTCTCCTCTGGTTCAACAAGCTTACGGAAAAACTCCCTATCCACTTCATCACATGATGGCAGATTCAGAACAACCGTTGACGGTTCTACATTGTCCGCTTCTTCTATCCAAGCCTTGAGAGATGCAATATCTGCATCAGTTGGGTGAAACATAGCAGGCAGAATTGATACAATCGGTTCAACATATGGTGAGCATTGGTACTTTGAACAAGACCGTTTTCTCTTTTTCACTTTTCCCCCCCTCAAAAGTTCAAGATCGTCAACATCTACCGGTGCACTACCAACATCGTGTCCATCCCATTCCAAATTTTCAAATGGACCAGGTGCTGTTAATGTAGGTAGGTTGTCGTCCACCTGCATACATTCCTATTACACACAGGCATATGTTAGTACACACAGACAAATTTTTATATGCACACCAACATTTATTTTAACACATAGACAATACAGTCTTCATACTTAGTTCACATAGCATTAAGGCAACCTGAGTTGACAACCCATGCAATTCAATACTTTTTTAACAATCTGATTTTACAACACATAACATACTCAGTTAACTTACATCACGCCAAGATTAACATTAATACACACACAATACAAAACAAATATTTACCTCGTTTAAGCACATCATTAGATCTGGGAAGCTGTTCCCTTCCTTATTCTGCTCACTTCCCCAATTCACCTATTACATAAAGAAGCACTTCATTTCTCATTCCACAAAAATAACAACATAGATACATCAAAAAATATACCTCATTCACCACAGTTGAGATGATGACATCTGCCCGTGTCCCACCTTCCTTATCACCAGCTTCTTCATTTACAACCGTGGTGTTCATAGGCACTGGTTGAGGGGCTTCGTTTGGTTCCTCCGAGGACAGATTCTCTTCATTGTCAACCTCACCGTCAACCTGACCGGCATAATTCTTAATCACATCAGCATCTTCACCCTCAGCAGTTTGTACTATCTTCTCAGCCACACCCTTAACCGCACCTTCATCCTGATGAACCACTTCATCTTTAACATTATGAACCTACAATACAAGTAGTTGAATTTGTTATTCACCAAGGTAATGAGAAGGGCCAGCAAATGCCAGACGCAAGTAAGTTAGAGCATACCTCTTGCTCAACAGATGGATTATGATTGTTAATCAACTTTAAAAGTAGCAGCTTTATTTCTGAAATACTCTCCTCAACACCACTAATCTTCTTTTCCACCCTTTCTACACACAGTCGTAGGTCCTGCATCTCTTTCAATATTTTTAGTTTTTGGAAATTGCGAACGTCTTCCTGGATTGTTTCATCTTCTTCCTCATCTTCTTTCTCTCCCTCCTCTGAATCATCAACCTTCTCCTCCTCCTACAAAAAAAGTATTACTAAAATAAAGGCTATTTGAAATTAAGTTAATGAATGAGACACACATACCTCTGGAAAGACCACTCGTCGCAGCTTTGAGTAATGAAATTTGCGTGCAGCAGTCCAATTCAGCAAAGGCACGTCATGATTTGCCACTTTGTTTGCAAAGTTGTTACCAACTTCAGGAATTTCTTCGTAAGCCCACACCTATAGACATAAGAATAAACCCAAAATACATTTATTCATTGTTAATTGAACACATTGCCCGAGGTAAATTAATATCCATACTTATTCAAAATATAAATTCAAATAGTTCAAATTTCACAGTTATATATATACAACTAAATGTATATATATAGTTATAGTCACATATATGTTATCATTCAAACAGTTATTCAAACGAATATTCAAACTAAATTTAACATAGGTATGTGTGTGTGTGTAGTGAATTTATAAGTTATATATTCAACTAAATATAACAGTTATATCTATACAACCTGGATTAACATTTATAGTTATTCAAACTATAAATTCAAATAGTTCAAATGGGTAGAATGTTCAAATTTAACATGTAATTAATATCCATAGTTATTCAATCAATAGTAATATATATTTATCTCCTATATATAAATAAATAAATAAATAAGTGGAATAGGGAAGTTGTCATATATACCTGCAAAACTAGTGGAAAACCGTACAATGATAACTTCGCATTCTTATAATTAGGATTGGCCTGCTTTTTTTCCTTGAACTTCTCAGGTTGGTCATGCATCAGGTCCTTCATATGCTTCACTAATATCTTGTACGAACGAAGTGACCACGGACACTTCCTGAATGCCTCTAAATCATTCACCAATCTGATTGATGATGCATTTATCCTCGTAGTGTTGTCCTTTGCTAGCAAAACGCACTCAATGTAGTACAACGAGGCCAACTTCACAGCATCCATCGAATCAGCACGTGTGGAAAACCTCAGATTCTTTAATCTATTCTTGAAAGTCACGTGGGTAATGTCAACTTTGTCACCCAAATATTTATGAGCAAGTGCCCCAACTGGTTCATGTTCTTCGGCAGAATCGTGTCCAGAATCATGTCCACCATCCTGTTCAGAATCTTCTTCCGCAGCTGCTTCAAGTTCTGGTTCAGCACCGTGTGGTAATCCACTTATGTAGCAAAAGTCCACATAAGTAAACTTATACAGTGTACCCCCAATGGCAAACCACAGCTCATCATCCGGTTGCTCCTTCACTAGGTGTAAGGCCAGCATGTGCAATATTTGCCCAGAATTGTCTGTCTCTGGGATGTCAATCAGATGCCCCCATGGTAAATCCCTAAACACTTCCCTTTGTCTTTCAGTTAACCTCTTTTTTACCCATTTGGCTGCATTTCTAAAGTCTGAACACACAGAGTACTGCGCGGGGAAATACTCGTCACTCGGAATGTGTAACTTCAGCCGACTGGCAGTTGAACAAACATAAATGTCAAACATAAAATAACACCCCACATGAAACTTATGCCAGCACACACATAACTTATAAACATAGACAAAGGAACTACACTATAATAGACACAATTTCATTCACAGACAATAACTAACACTCCAAATGAACCAGACCACTACACAGCCAACTTATGAACTCCAAATGTACATTATTTGATCCACAGACAATAATTAACAACAAATTTACTTTACACCACCACACAGGCAACTTATAAACATGAAACAACACAATTATACTATATCACAAACACAATTTCATTCACAGACAATAATTAACGCCTAATGAAGATTTCACCACCACACACACACCTTACAGACATCAACAAAGGAAGCATACCATATCATACATAAGTGTTGATTCAGAGACAATACTTCACATATTCACAGTCTATAAACCAGCCCACAGTCAAAAAAATATAACCCTAAAAAAAAAAAAGGTTAGGAAATGATACATACTCCGCCATCTCTGACAGTGGGGTTCGCACCATTGGTGAGCTTCGTCGTCCTAAACAAGTGCGCGACGATGGGGCCTCCTCGCTTGAAACCTCAAATCGCTTGGACAGGGCTTCGATTGAGAAGAGTTACACCAGAAGGGGGGGAGCGAGCGTCGTTCCGGAGATGGCTGCCGGTTCACACCTCAAACGCAGAGACCTCATGGGGATATGAGTGACAAGTATGGGGGAGAGGAGTTTCGACTCTCAAGGGCGGCGGGTGTTTTGATTTTCAAGAAACGGGGGGAGTGAGGGAGTTATGCGAGTGAGGTGAGGGGAAAAGGGGAGGAGGGAAAAGTGGGGGTAATTTTTTTGGGGGCTTTTATAGTGTGTATAAGGTGGGTGCAATTGTGTGTACAAAGAGCATTATTGTATAAATTAACTTTATGTATATGTATTCCAAATGTAAAAACACGTATAACAATTTTAAAATCTTATTTATATAATATTAAATTAAAATTAACATGAGATTTTTCTATGTTGGGGCCCGATGAATTCTAATGAAACACGACAAAATTTCCATAATTTATAATTGCATTTGAAAATTTTAGAAATAATACATATATGGAGTGATATGTTATGAGTAATAAAAAGCTATTATATATTAACTTTAGCTATATGTTTCAAAAAAAAAATAACTTTAGCTATGTGTACTCAAAATCTATAAAAGTTTTTAAAGTTTTATTTTATATACTTTTTTCCAATAATTTTATGTATACTTTTTTCCATAATTAACAATTATGGAAATTTTATCGAGTTCGATTAGAATTCAACAAAGTTCTATACTTAATTTATGTAACAAAAATTCAATATTCAAACGGGCTCATAGATTAGAGTTATGCTTGGCACTTCGAAATGTAGGTAGATGCTAATGTCTGAATTGAAGGCTATTGTTTTAACTGGAAACTATTGTATAGAGTTGAATTTTGAAGTGTTGAATCTGAACTGTTAGTTGGATGAGAGAAATTTGTTTGGCAAAAAGAGTTAAAAAATGCTCAGGCATACAATCTGACCTGGCCAGATCAGATCATATACAGATCAAACCAAATCTAATCAGAACAGACAAATCAAACAAAAAATTCAGTCTAATTAATATTGTTTCATGGACTCCTTCCTAAAAATTCAGTCTAATTAATATTGTTTCATGGACTCCTTCCTAAAATTTAGAAATTTATATGTCTAAAAAGAATCAGTTTAAAGTTTAATTTAGAAATCAATTAAATAAATTATTGAAAAACACTGCATTTTTATACATATTCCACACATTGTTTTTCAATAATTTATTTAGCTGATTCACGATTGAATTTTAAGATAAAATTCTATGCACATAATCTACACTTGATGAAAACATTTTCTTAAAAAAAATTTATTAAAAAATTCAATCAAAAAACTATTAGTTTATGACTGAAAAATCATACTCCCTCCGTCCCCTTTTAAATGTCCCCTTTTACCATATTGGGGTGTCCCTATTTAATTGTCACATAACTTATTTGAAAAGTTTGTGTGGCTCAAAATCATTATTACTTTATTCTTACTTTATCAAGTCTCATAACTTATTTGGTAAAGTTTGAGTGTCTCATAACATCTTTTAAGCACACTTAAATTATTTCAATAAAATTGTTTAAAAATATTTCTAATAACTTCCATATTATTCCTAAAATAAAAAGATGAGTGAAGTATCATAAAATGAAAGTGGAAAAATTAAAATAGCAAGACTGTATGTGTTAAAATTTACTAAATATAAATTTGTCTTAAGCTATTCCAAGTTATGTCCACCTTTCTAATTAAGGATATTTTCAATTGAAATCAATTTTTTTATCTCACTTATGAAAGTTAACATTATTTTTACTTTAGTGTATATATTAATTTAATCTTGATATATTTTGACCGAAAGTTACATTTCAAGTCTTGGAAAGTTTTATTATAAATTACAATCATATCATGAGACTAAAACTATTGTTTAAGAGCTAGATAAATAAACTAGATTGTATATAAAAGGTACATAGTAATTATTTGGTCGTGCATATTGAGATCATTTTTCATTGCTGCATACGAGGCATTTGTCTTTTTTATTTCATTGCATAATTTTGACATGCTTATGTTTCGATTATAGCCACATCTTGATGTGATGAGATTCTTTTTATAGGATTTATTCATCTTATCTTCTATAATACAATTGTCTATTGAAAGTCTAAAACATGATTTTTTTTTTCATTCAATAACACTTATTTTACTTAATAAGATCATTGAAACCTTCAATAACTCAACCTAACGAAAAATAAATTGATCGCTTTCAATTACAAAATGCAATCCATTGTCGCCATCATCACATTCATTAAAATCGGAATGCCACATAACTATATATTCTAAACTCTTTTCTTAAAAATGAAATCAGAAGACTAATTTGAAAATTTCTAAAACATAGTAGGGCTAATATCTTTAAAAATTTGACTTGACTCTTTTTTAAATAAATAAGTTACAAAAATGTGTAGTTAGTTTTGAAAAAAAACAGTAAGCCACGAATTAGATTTAATGGATAAAAATAGCCATTGAACATTTTAAATCAATGATATAATCGACTAAATAACTAATTTTTCTTTAGTAAAACTAAATAAAAAAATCATTTTGTCCCGTGCACGGCACGGGTAAAGATACTAGTACATTATACATTTAAGTATTGTTTGTTTGGCTACGTCACTGTAAACGAGGCCAATAACTAAACACAAATTCGAACATAGAATTCGAAGATAAACAAGGATGCCGCATACAGCAGTCATGTACATGCATACACTCAAAAACGAAAACTATGGATTGAACGAAAATTACAAGCGAGCTCAAAGCAACAACATCCCTAGACTGGGACAACTGAGTTACAACCTTCTGTGATTGCTATGAGCAGCAGTCTGGGACCAAGATGAAGGTTTGAACCCTCCAACCAATAATCTTGATGCACCTGAAGCATTTATTTTTCTTCTCTTTGCTACAAGGTCCAAGTTCTTTGATGAATCAGAAAATATGGAGGAAGCATTGATCATTGCTCTTTTATCTTTTATGCTCCTATCAAACTTGTGGGCAAATTTAATGCGGGAAGCAGCCACAGCATCCTCTTCGGATACAGGTAGCAATCTACAAGCAAGTCCCGCTTTCCGGGCTGCAGATTCTTCTTCTGCGACACGTTTCTTTTGGCCCTGTATTCACATTTACAAGCAGGTGTTTGTTCACAGAATGTTTGGGAATAAGATTACCTTAAGGGCGTTTGGTTCAACGAATAGGATATTGTGTATGCCTTCAAATTATTGGACAGTCAGAATAAAATAAAATATTAGTCTCTCTATCCCAAAATATTCCACCCACTTTTCTATAAGGTCCGTCACAAAATTAGTCTCCATTTCTTTTTAAGGAAAGCATTATGTCGTTTATATTATTTCTCTCTTAATTAATTTTAACCACAGAGTTTCACATTATTAATTGGCGCTTTATTTAGGCACAAAGGGAGTATGAAGAGAGAACCTAAGAAATCTAATGTAATCAAATTACCCGAACGTTACCCAATTTTTCTGTGTGAAGGTAAGCTCATTTTTGCCCTGGTAATCTAAATACTTGAAATAAACAAGGTACTCTCACATATCCTTCTCACAATACCGAGGAACAGTATGTCTGCAACCTATGATTTCCTAAACCAAACACACAAAAGGATGAGTGAAGACAGAAATCCAAAAGCGCACACACTATACCCTTAATCTGGCTCGTAGGGCCTTGTTTAAGGAATAATCATCAGAGTGTCTTGCATCTGATACTCTCTGAAGACGGACAAGTAAAGGCTCAGCTTCTTTCTTCTTCTTTAGATCTTCCTCCTGGTGCTCAAGTCGGTAAAAGGGGTCTGCCAACTTACTTCGGTCTGTAAGATGGAATAAGAGAAAGTAAGAAATAATAATGCTCTGTGAATGCAATATACACACAGTAACACACACATACACATGTAATATTATGTATTATTTACATATGAAACCAATGCACAATATTGATGACATTTGTATCATTAAATATTTAGAGCTTATTGGTTCTTCATGATTTAACATGGGATGTTCATCGGTATTTATTTAATTATTTGCAACTTACCTTTGTATAATACTACGTATGAATTTCAGTTTCTTCAGACCGGTTTTCGAATTCTTTGTCTGTCGATAAGTTGAATCAGTTTTCAAAGCCAAAACCTTAAAGTGCTACCCCAAATGCATATGGTTTGGTTAGTCTAACATTTGGTCGGTCAGGTTCAGTTTGTGTTTAGCCGATTCTTATGTTCATTCCTAGAATTTGTGCATTTTGGTTTTCCGATTCAAAGAACTATAAAGTAATGTTTCTGAACTAAAAAAAAAACTACAATTAACTTTACCCATAGTGGATATGCTTACCTTCTTCAACAGGTAGAATCATGGTTTCTGCATCTTCAGCTTCATACTCTTCAATCTTCCGCCGAGCTCCACTAATAATGACATACTCACAGTTCTTTGGATCTGTTTGGATGACAATTTCATGTCTACAGCATGCAGCCTTCATGGAAAAGCTCCATATCTAACAGAACAGGAAACGGTTCATCACCACAAGCCGAAGTCATCAATGAAATTACACTTTTCATGATTACTGGTTTGCAAATTACCTTCGTAGAGTAGTAATTTCCCACTTGCTTTTTCTCAGCATTAAACCGTACACCCTTTGCAATCATTGATTCACATCCACCACACCAGATATTGTATGGCATTTCGAATCTGGATGAATTGATAAATGAGAATTTCAAACCAGAAACTAAACTTTAAAGGACAACTATAGTTAAATCGTTTTTTCATCATTTTCTTCTTCTAGCATCCCAGCTACTTGCCCAACCTCTAAGAAAGATCTTTTTCCCATTTCATCAAGGTCATTTTGAAGGGGTGGAGTGGTGGACAAAATCGGATTCATAGAAAAGTCTTTTTTTCCTATTTTATCAAATTATCATCAACTTAAGTAACACTAAACAATCTGATTCACACAAGTACAACTCCTTGAATCCATCCATTGAATCCAAGCTGACATCAATTTTGGATTAAACATCAAAGATTACTCCTTAAGACACATATATAGTCTTCTTCTCCAAAAAAATCTAAAATAAAAGTCCTACGTCAAACAAAAAGAATCTTATATTCACTATGGTTAATATATTTATGTCAAAAAAAGTCCCAAAGAAGTGAGTATGCTACATATAGCGATATAGTTAAATCAATAAATAAACATAAAAATCATAGCTAAAATTAATTATTTCCAGTAGTATTATCTCATAACTTACTAAAGTTTAAATGTTGTTCCTTAGTTAAGCATGACTCATTTATAACTAAGGCATTTTCATTTTAAAAGAAAGTTAGATATTGTACCTTATAATAAGGATTCCCTGGTCTATTTTTCTTGCTCTTTCTCTGAGAGCATGTTGACCGTTGAATTTGTTCAATGAACCCTGATATGAAAAACTAATGTAAGAATCTACAAATATAACTTTTTCAAAATTCAGATATTACCTATAACACATTTAGGAAAATCTGAAAATGTGTGCCAAGTGCCAACTAACCTTCTTGGGTGTCCATTCTGGAGGGTAATAAAAATTATCTGCTCTAGCAGCTGCAAGAGAAGACTGCAGGACAAATACAAAAGATCAGTTTAATTAGGTAGTATTTGCACATCTGAAGATGAAATATGATGGTCAAGATACAAAGGCAGAAAAAATGAAATTCTGAAGAGCTTCAATCATGAACTGTATTTGCAAAGTCATCTAATCATGCTACTGTTAAAACTCATGGAAACCGAACAAAAACGCTACAGCAAACTCGTTTTCTTTAAGACCTGTCACACCTACAATATCCAAGCTTGAGGTGAAAATAATTCAAATATCAACAATTAGATGAACTGATCGTATTTACATAATAAATTATTTAATGACATGAAATCTATTGTAGCACAGAGAATGTCATCTAACAAGACAATTCTTCCCTTCCTATATTAGATTGAATACTCAAATGAAAAACCTAATACGTAGTAGTTTTTTTATTATGAACAATAAAACATGAATTCTAAGCAGAAAACTTTACTAGATTCGATATCTACAACGATCTCCTTGATTTAGTAATTTTATCCTCAACAACCACCAATTATATACAAACGTATTAACAAGGCCCTAGTATACATGAAGAAAGCGAACCAAAAAGGACAAAATAAAGATAAACCACATAAATATTCAGAGTAGTTTATCACGTACCATTGTCAAATCTCAATGTCTCGTAGATTCGGCCGGTCGATAGCCAATTTCACTCAGAGATGGACAGAACAAATTGAAATCTTCAATTTAGGGAAGTCTGGGGAACGCGCAAGTACGCTTCTAGCTCTTGGTACATCCGTTTTTGGTTCTACACATGAATGAGAAGCCGACGTCGTATTGTGCGTCAATCTTATGGGCCTTTGAACGTGATTTCAATGTTAATCTCATATACATAGAGTTGTCGTCTCATTTGGGCTTTTTATTATTGGGTCAAAATGCTCAATGATGACACTGTCCACTGATTTAATTATTTGGGCAAGGTCCACTCAATTTTTTTGAGAAGAAAAAGCTTATATTAATCAGCAGTATCCAAAAACATTAACCTCCCTTTAACCCACAATGACCAAAAGCTTACCGACATCTCACTCTTGGATCAGACATAGAATAGTCTATCCCAAAAAAAGCGAGATTAATTTTTAAGCATGTGAGACCTTTGAGGCTATTAGTGATTGAGTTATCAACTATAGTAAACCAAACCACAAACCTACCCCCTTATCGTATGTCATAAAAATAACAAAATAGAAATAGTAAATCAGTCTAGACTGGAAATAACAAAAGTAGATAAAATTCAGTTGATGGAACTCTCTCAATTCTATTACCTCCTGGTTGCCTTACGTAATATTAGTTGAGTGACAGGCGAGCTACAACATTGCATCTCGCCTTCTTTCCACTTTTGGTTCTTCCTCCTCTTTATCGATTCTCCTACGTTTTTGCTCATTTTTGTCTCCAGCAGTGTTTAGCTCTTGGACCTGCACAAGACCGCCATAATCCTCCAAATCTGACATATTAACTCTGCTCTCGTCATCCTTGCCTCTTTCTTTGTCATTTGGAACTAACCATATATTTCCACCTATTTGTGCTCTTCTTTTAGTAGTCCTAAACTCTGGCCCGAAAGGGAGTGAGGGCCGATCCTGTCTATTTTCTGGCCTATGGGCGGGATTATATTTTGGGCTTATATTCAAGACAAATAATAAACTGTATTTATTTTAAATAATAATTATAATAAAATTATTTATTAAAGGTCATTTAATTAAATAAAAAGGAACTCATTTTATTATTATTATTTAAATTACATAGTTGGTTAAAAGTAACAACACAAGTATCACATAAAAAGAAAAACATGACTTAAAAACGTTTCTCACAGAATTTTCAAGATTCAATTTCTTAACAAAAACAAAATTTTCCATTGATCCGTGCTAACCTGACCATGTCTTTTCTAATCTTCTTCTCTTTCTATCTTTATCTCATCCCGATTCACCAATTTTATCAAGAACAATTTATTGATCACGGATGGATTGTTTGAAGTCTAGAAAGAAGTTTTTTGATCAAAGAAATATTTTTCGGCCTATTTTTTCCTCCTATTTTCTTGAGCCTGGGGCGGTCGCCCCTGTTGCACCCCCCCCCCCCCCCTAGGGCCGCCCTTGTGCCTGGGAGTCTTCCATTCTTCGCACTACTCTCAAGGTTGCGAGGATAGTTCCTTTCTGCATGTCCAATAATCTCACACGTAAAACAAAAATTAGGGAGTTCATACAAATAGTTGACACAAATTTATGTAGTAGGATTCTATCACATGCAGATATGTCAATGTAATCCTAGTTGACAAATAGTTGCTTTTATTTGGGAACTCCATACAAATGTTGTTATTGTCATTCGTAATGTATGCACCGATTCGTAATGTATGCACCGAATTTGATTATTCATCTGCCAATTCCTACATGTCACACCCAGGGCCGTCTAATGAATTTGGAGGCCCAGGTTCGAAATAGCAAATTGAGGCCCCCTAAAACAATAAAATATAACAAATTTAACAATGAAATAAAAAAAGTCAATGAAATATAAGTTTTATATACTCCATAATGTTTTAGGAGTAAAAAAAGTCCTACCCGAGCACAACCCTACGTACATAAGTACTCGCCATTGGGAATTTGGAAAGTACACTGCTCTAGTTAAACTAATTAATTGTACAAAAAATGTTAAACTAATTAAGTAATTATTACTCGGTATGTACGGTTATGTAAAAACAATGTTCCTTTTTTCAATTTATAAAAACTAAAAGTTATACATGTTTTAGAATTTGAAATAATACACAATATCTAGAAAAAATCAACCTAGAGGCTATAGTTAATACTACATACTAAAAATTTGGATGCCCCCTATAAACGTGGGCCCCGGTGCGAAGCACCTATTGCACCTCCTAAAAGACGGCTCTGGTCACACCCTATTCAAGCGAAGTCTTGCCACCATATAAATTTAGGTGATCAACAATTATCTAAGAAACCGTTAATATGATACCGCTAAAAGTTTATTTTTACTCAACTACTTCATTTGATTGTGATAATAAGGAGATGTTTCTTCATGACTATTCCATAATTTTGACATTCTAGTACAATTAAATTGGAGGCATACCCCCACTCTCCCTTATCAAATCTAACCTTTTAAATTTATGTCAGTTGGATTCTCTATTTCATTCTCAAAAGTAAGATTTTTTCAAGAACTCCATTTTTAGCCTTAAGTAGATACTCATAGTAATGTTTAAAATAACCATCAATAAAATTGATAATATATATCTTTACTCATGGATAAAGACTCCATCAAACTCACAAATGTTAGTCAGTATGAATTAAATCAAATAATTTTGAATTTCTATATCAATTAAATGATAAGATTAGCTTACTTATTTAAATTAAGTAGTAGTAGACTAGTAGTGCATACAATAATTTTCTTAAATTTATCAATAGAGTGCTTGGGAAATAAATTCACATTCATCCTGTTTTAGAGAATCTAAATTAATACTTCCTCCGTTCTATAATTCTTGCAACATTTTGATTTTTACACTATTCACAGATCTTACTTTGACCATGATTTTCTACTAATATACATAATCAAATTATTACGTATAAAATTAGGGCTGGGTCCGAAAAATTGAAAACCGAAAACCGAATCAAATTAAATCGAACCACAACCAAATAAAACCGAACCGCTAACAACCCGAAACCGAATGTAAAAACCCAAACCGAACCGAAGTTGTTTGGTTCGGTTTTGGTTTTTACCCTTCAAAACCGAACCGAACCAAACAAACCGAACTATTTAAAATATGAAATTTATGTGTTACGTAATTGTTAAGAATTATTTCTAATTAATCTTAATATCATCAATATTCTTTGGTTTTCTTGTGTTAGAGAAATAATGTTTGTGTTATGTTTAGAGTTTAATTTAGTTTATAAATTCATTTACACACTCATTGCATGTAATAATGTAACTATATTGAATGATGATGATGATAATATATGTTTACTAGTTATCAGTAGTAATTAACTTTTATTTTTAGATAACTTAAAGATTTTGTATTGATAAAACAATAAATATTCATCTCAACTTATCACATAGAACGTATATATTCATGAATTTTTTTTGAACTAGTCACAAAAAAAATAATTAATAATATATACTCCATATAGTTTTATCTACCTAGTACTCTAATAATTCAAAACATATTTATTTCTTCTCATTTTTATTTTATTTGTTGTATTGTGCTTGCATACTTTATGTAATACTCCGTATGTTTGATCCCTCTAAATTTTATATCAATTTTAAATCAAGTGGGAATTTTTTGGTAAAAAACCGAAAAAACCAAAATCGAACCGAAACAAACCGAAACAATCAAATCGTGGTTCCAAGTTTTGGAGTGTAAAACCGAACCAAAACCGAACCGAACTTTTTACTTTGATTCTATATTTGGTTTTAGGTCAAAACCGAACCGCAAGAACCGAACTCACCCCTATGTTATTGAACTCTTATCAACGTGAATTTCCAAAATATCAACTTTTTATAACGTTTACTAATACATAATTAAATATAATTACAGTCAAAGTTGTGCATTGACAATCGTGAAAGTCAAACTGTTGCAAGAATTATAGAACAGAGGATAGCACTTCGTATGACTAAACAATAATGTCATATATATTGAAGAATCACACTTCTCAGATAAACTATACTTCGTATGACTAAACAATAATGTCATATATATTGAAGAATCACACTTCTCAGATAAACTATTTAATTTAAAAACTACAACCTTAAAAAGTCCATCTACTAGTAACCTTGCCAATAAATGTTCCACCAAAAAATATTAAATTTTATTTAATTTAAAAGACAATTCATAATCCTCATTAACAAGAATAGATCTACGTACTAATAATTTTAATTCTTTTTGACAACGTGATTGCACCTCATGCAAAGAAAGAGTTTTTCTTGAAGAAAATATGATTTCTACTTTAATTTTCTTATTCCTAACACACGGAATATTTCACAGCATCCCTATCCTTCGAAATAATGCCGGTGATAAGAAATGGTGAACGAATTATTAGAAATCGATTACACCCCATTGGAATCAGATATATGTATAGTGAAAATTTAATGACTAATTGAAATGTATCCATCATAACTAATTCATCTAATCACCATATTGACTTTGAGCCCACTAAAAAGCCGTGGGATTGACGGACATTTTTGACAGGGTTTCGCCAAAATTCATAGAGGATTTGGTACTGATATATCAAATCCGTGTCAAAAACATTTTAGCACAAGCTATTTGCCAAACTATTTTATACCAGTTTTAAGATGTTTTTCCTAAAAGATTACTAAAATAAACTTTGTGAGCAAAAATGTGATTAAAGTGACATTGAGTACACTTTTATAGTCATTTTAGTTTAAAATTTAAACATAATTTTTATAGTCATTAAAAGTTATACATTAAGTCACAATTTTATCAATTATTATTATTATTATTATTGTGGTCATATATTAAGTATTTCTTCTTCTTTTTTAATGAAAAATGATCTAATACATGTTTTACATGTTTTTAATTCTCACTTTATTAAGAGTCGGATTTGTATCCTAAAATGTTACCCTATAAGAGGAGTAGTTCAAAGTCTTATATAATGTTTTAATTTATTGTGGCCAAACAGGGCTAGCTGGACAATATTAGGGTCTATAAACGGGTCAGACAAACTCTTAACAAACTATTCTTAATCGTTAGTGTTAAACATGTTGTCAAATCACAAACGGACTTAATTGGTTTTGATACTATGTTAAGATATGGAGTTTCATTCTAAAAGATCATTCTAATACCATGTTTAGCTTAAGGT